GTGATGAGTCCCTCATCACGCTCTGTTCCTACCTCTTCTTCTGTGTTTTCCTGATGCTTTAGCTTAGTTCTTCCTCACCAAGGAAAGGAAGACCTAGCACTGGGAGTGAGATCCTGACACAGTGACCTCGTTCAGAGCTTTACCTTCTTTGTCAGCAGCAGCAGAAGCCGAAGCAGCTCCGCTGGCTCTGGGCACTTGGAGCAGTTTGACATTTTTCTGTCTGGCAAGGTTTCAGGGCTCACTTTGTTTTGAGCCCAAATGGTGACTGGGATGATGAAGAATGAGCTTGCAGGAACTTGTTCACCGCTTCTAATTTTTTGATAAACACTTTGCGGCAGCCCAACTTTGATCCAGTGTGCAGCAGAGCTGTTTGTTACGTGCAGGTCTGCAGCATTCTTCGGGACTGACAAAGGAGAGTAAAGCTTTCTTTTTTAATCAATAGAGTAAAAACTGGTAAGTGCCATGCTAAATAATGAATAATTTAAGAAAATACTGCTCTGGGAAAGTGTGTGTGTGCGCGCAGGTATGTGTGTGCGTTTGTGGGTTTGTGTAGTGGGGGGTTGTGTATTACATCAGGCAGATACATTAGGGGTAAATTTTTTGTCTTCACTAGAGGGTTAAAGCTTTAACTTGTCTTTGCTAATGCATGTAAATAGCTTTCTTGTCCACTTAACTGAGGAGGCTGGCTTGTTATCCTGTACAATGCAGCTGGGCACCGTTCCAGAAGCAGAGGCACTTGGTTTCAAAGACAAAGAAGCCAGCTCAGACGTAGGGAGAAAACCTGGAACGTTGCGCCGTGGATGATTTTTTTATTTAATTTTTTTTTTTTTTCCAGAGCGATGACTCATTTCAGTTCACAAAGGATTCTGGGCAGGGTAGTGAGAAGTCAGGTTGGCTGATCCATTCCTATGACTTCACTTTGCAGAGAGAGCCAGGGAGAAGAGGAGTGACACTGCAGAATCCTGAGGCACTGCAGTGGAGAGGTGCTTTGCAAAGACTGTGAGTGCCTTCGGAACAGGGGGTGGTGTCAGAACGTGATTCCAGCCGTTCCGGTCCATGGAATTAGGGCAAAAAGGAGAGAGATGTTTTCAAAACACTGTGTGGGAGTTATATTTGTAGTCCCCTTTAGATTCTCTGCCTCCACCTCCCCTGTCATTTCTTAACCATTTATTTCTTGTACTTGTGTGAGAATTGTGTGAGATAGCATTCCTTTCAGTGGACCTGTACAGATACTGCATTTTTTAAAATTTCCTGCTTCAAGAGGTGGGTGTTCAGCATATTACTGCCTAAAAGCATGCTTTGTTTTTCTTCTTTCAGGTCCTGTGGCACTGACCTATGCTGCAGCCAGCCAGCTTCCTCAGTGATATAAAGCCCCAGTATGCACATTGTTGTTACAGCACAACTACTCTGGATACTGTACTGGAGCATGGAACCAGATCATAGGGGTTCAGGTAAGTCCCCCTTTTTTTAACATATTGTGTGCCAGGAATATAGACACAGACACTTATTAAAAGATGCATTTGAAAAATATTGTTTGAGGAAACACGTTCTAAAGCACACAATATATTAAAAAAAAAAAAACAACAGTCCCACCCTCCTCCTTCCCAGGATAAGCAATACCATCAAAATCTCCTCGACTGAATCCTCTGGGAAAGTTCCGTGCTCCAACAGAAACTTTTTATGATCCTAGTTGTAACATGTGCTGGGATATATCACTTTGGATCAGGAGGCAGCTGGCCACAGGACATGAATAAAGAAAAGGAAGTTTAAATCACAGGAAATGCCCGGGATTAATGCATGTAAGACAAGTTTGCTGGCTGGGGGCAATTTAGCACCTGTTCCTGAGAGTTAGTGGCACGCGGTCAACCTGGAGATCGTGCTTTTAGCTGGCTCCCAACGATTCAAAAGGTCAGTTTACAGGTTGAAGTTAATAACTGGCAAGGGACTAGAACTTCGTTGAGAGGCAAGTGTTTGTCCTATGGTTGGTCATTATTAAAGGTTGCTGTCTTTTCTTCAGGCGGGTTAGAATCGGAGCGGTCACATTCCCGGGTCACGTTCTTGAAGTGTTTGTGACCTGTGTCTGCAAGGGAAGGTATGTTTTGGTGTGTGTGATTTTGGAGGTGCAGAAGGAGCTTGCTGGTTAGCAAATGTGTGTTACTGCATTTGCCAAACCTTTGTTTAAGCTGCCCTTAAATGGACAAATCTTTAATGTATTTTTTTTTCTTATTGTTTTCAGTGATTTGATACGTGTAACTGTCTAGTAAACACAACCTGCAGCTTTGTTTGTAAAGTAGTCCAGGAAATGTGGTTTAAAGGAAGGATTTAGCTATGGCTGAAAACAGTGCAACCAACACACCTTCTAATTTTCCTTATTTCAGATTTTGCCAGTAAAAGGTGTTCTTTTCTGTGTTATTGTGCTAGTGCAGATCCAAGGTATTTCATTGTAATCTGGATAATATGACAGAAATCTGCATATTCTTCCTGTTTCCTCCTGTTGTTTAATCAGATGGAAATGTTTTCTGGTTTAAAATGGCAATTACATATCATTGTTGTGAGTTCACATAAGAAACGTTTTGTTTGCTACCTCTATGTAAGTATTTTATAATTAGCAATTCAATCACGTTGAGGTTTGGGGGGAAAGGGGATAATGTGCAACCCAGGCTGGACAAGGAAATTCTTCATCATCTGTCCCTTCTTTAAGTAAATCTGAAAATGTGCTTTTTCTGGAAGAGGCTTTTCACTTGCAATATCCTTGAGAAAAAGTGATAATATGAAGAGCCCTCTTTTTGCCCATTAACAGTAGGTTTGGTTTTGTTAGCTGCCTTTTGTTTGTGAAGACCTTTCTGTAGTTTTTCCCAGAGTGAAATCATAGGTGAGTATTGACCAGAACAGGCTGTTGGCATGAATTTTTTTGTAGGGGGATTGCTGTTGCAACCACGACTTTCATCATGAGATGCCATGGAGTTACTGTACTCTAGGTTTGTGTTTTCTGGTCAATAACGTGGTTCTGTAAGCAGAGAAAGTAGTGACATCAGATTTCTCTTGAGAAGTGTTTTTTTGAGTGGATTCTCTCCTGTGTAGCGGGAGGTGGCTGGCAACCACGACTTTCATCATGAGATGCCATGGAGTTACTGTACTCTAGGTTTGTGTTTTCTGGTCAATAACGTGGTTCTGTAAGCAGAGAAAGTAGTGACATCAGATTTCTCTTGAGAAGTGTTTTTTTGAGTGGATTCTCTCCTGTGTAGCGGGAGGTGGCTGTGCCTGAAGCTCTCTCCAGATGGAACATGCATAGCAAATACTGGTAGAATCTCTGTTGTCTAGCGAAGCTCGACATCTATGGCACATGCAGTCACACAGACTGTGATTGTGCAAGCCTCATTTCCTGTGGAAACCAGGCTAAAAATCCTTTTTAAAGTTTTTCTTCATCCATAGGAAACAAAAGATTGAAAAGGTGTTGAGAGACTGTATGAAGAGAAGCTGGGCTTTGGCTTCCTATATTTCACAGGATGCAGAGTGTGATCAGGCAGTCCCTTCCCCATAGAAGGGAAACAGTGTGTATAAATTATAGTAAAGTGTGGCTTTGCACTGTAATTTCCTTAATTTTCCTTCACAATGGCTGTACTGAATTGGTTCCATTTATAAGTCAAGAGGTGATTTTTTCAAACAATCTTCCTGCAGACTTCACGAGACAGGGAGTTTGACTTCCAGGTCACTTCTTTCCGGCAGCAGAATCACTAATAAAAATTCTGCCATCGGTATGTAGTTGATCATTTAATTGCTGTTACATGGTGCAGAATATAGTCTACCTCATTTTCTTCTCAAGGTGGTGGTACCCAGACTTTCAGAGGATGGAGGCACTAGGAAGGGGTCGGGCTGGTGTGGGTTCGGGATGTGTCAATTTACATTCCCAGCTTTATTATAGACCATCACTTTCTCATCTGGTATGTTAACAATAGTTATGGGTTACCCAGTTTTTCAGAATGGTTTGAAATCCACTGAAGAAATGTGCTATGTAAGACCTAAGTGTTTATTTTATGTGCTACATAATTTTTTGTTCTAAGTAACAATAATTATTTTTTTCCCATGAGGTAGCGTTACAAATCCCCAAGGCATATGTGAGGAAAAATCACATTCATTGTTTGTTATGTATTTACACATTTTTGAAAATTAAGTGCCACTTATAAAGTCTAGAAAACTTTTGTCTGTAATTCTTTAGAGAAAAGTTTGGAAAGACACTGCAGAAACAGAGCTAAAACTATATAAACATGCAGTCAGCTGGTGAAAACTGCTTTCTGAGCTTCAGTTTCCATTTAATTAGAAACACAAACGTATGAAAGTCAAGGATGGTAATTTGATTTCAAAAGAAAGCTGCTTGAGACAAGCATCAGTCAGAGCTAACAGGAGCCATATGCTGGATGTTTTACTCAAGTGATGTGGTCTTCCAGAAAAAAATTAGGAAAAGCATATTTGATATTTTTTTCAAACAGATCTTTCCTAAAGAAGTTGTAGTAAACCTTCTGTTCGATGGGCTAAGCAGTATTTATGTGCGTAATTGATGTTAATATATTAAATCATAAACACAAGATCTTTTCTGTTGTTGTGCATCAAAGAAGTTTGTTCATTTAACTATAACCACAGAGTGCTTGTAATTTCCCAGAGCCACGGGATGGTTAAGATAAAACTTGGTAAATTAGAGCCTCCCTAAATTGAGGGGATTTGGCTTTCTGTCGCTAGGCCTACTGGAAGTTTTACGGAGGCGTGCTAGCCTTTTTGAACCAAGAGCCTCCAGTTATCTCCAGCAGATGGTTATGGACAACAAGCTATGGAAGTCATTCTGGCACAACTGAGGTGAAACGAGTTCCCATGTCATAATGGAGAAGCTTGAAAAGCACTCAGTTGAAAACAATAAGGCTTAACTGGTGATAGTCCCTTACAAAACAGAACAGTTCTCACATAAACCAGTATTTGTTGACCATTTCTATTGCATTTAAAGCTATTTAGATTATGATTTAATGAACAATTGTAGCCAGGAAGCTGCAGAGCAGACCTGTGTGAATTAGCAGCACTTGCTAGGCTTCACGTATAACCCTCCGTGAGTCCCTTTGCAACTTCAGGGAAAAACAGGATAAAACAATTCAGGAAGTTACTGGCCTTCACCTGGATGCCCTTAAATCTACCCAAGGAGCCCATTTCAGTGCCCAGTGAACCTGATTAAACTTCAACTAAGGGTAATATACGCCAGTCTGTTTGACATGGCACTGAACTGAACCTAGTGGTGCTCAAAAGGACACCCACCACACAGATAATCTCTCTGGGAAGGACACTAATTTCTTAAATTGCCTAGCTAAATCTGCATAATTCTTGTCATCATTCTGATGCTTTTTAGACATGAAACTAATCATTAAAGAAACTGATCCCCCTACACAAAGTGCCCAGTGACCGTTGATCAAAGTTGGTAGACTTGTGTGTCTGGCTGGTTACAAAGATTAATCTATGAACAAGTTTAAGCTGACAGCAGGCATAATTACTATTAAATAGTAATATAATAAATGTGATGTTCTCTTTCCATTCTCAAATGGTGAGGGGACAAGTGGTGCTTGCTCCCAAGTCATGTGAAAGCGTATCTCCCTGTAAGCTGCCTACGATCTTCTTGATTGCCATTGTCTGTAAAGCACACGTGGCAGGAACTTTTCAGGTATATATGAATAAAAAAATGCCCTGAAAAGGTTATATTTTCAAGTTGTCATTCTGTGGTCAGATAAGAATGAGGAGGATCTCGGGGTGCGCTGTGTGGACGTTGGATTCAGAATGCTGCTGTGCTGGGATTGTGGCATTGATCTGGCCAGGTGTGATTAAGCAGGAGCAATCAGGAGACAGCAGAGCACAAATGTCTATTTTAAATCATTGTTGTGTCTTGAGTAATGTGTGTGGCTGTTGTACAACAGACTGTGCAGCTGGTGTATTGAAAAATATTGCTCATAAGTCTCACTGAAGCGGTTACGCAATTTGCTACTCCCACCAATTCTTTTTTCTTTTTTTTTTTTTCAGAGTGCTGAGTATAATGCGAGATTAAATGCATTTTGATAATCAGTTTTAGAAACTGCTGTTCCTGTTTAGTAGATGTAGTAGGAATATGGAATTAATAGGGCAAATATGAGATCCTCTGAATGGTGGAGGAAATTTTATTTTTTGAATTAATTTCCTGTAATTTGATTCCTGATTTGGTCTCAGTGTGTTGCTCTGTGACAGCAGAAATAGAGTGATTTTCTTGAGATTTCAAAGCTGTTTAGGTAAAACTTAATCCCTGGCTATTGACTGACCTGTGACCGGAAAAGGATTCGTAGTCAAGCACCTCTTGTTTTATCTGTTACTCTTTGTTATTGCTTTACCACCGGCAAAGGAAATCTTTTAGCCTGCTGCTTCCTTCACTGAGATCACTGGGGAACTGTTACCACTTCAAGAGGAGCTGCAGAACAGAATCTAAAAGCATTTCTGTATTTATATAAGTTACGTTAAAACGCACGTGTGTATGTGTAGTCATTTTAGAATCATCAAATTGTAATTTCTCGTATAGATTTCATTTTGAAGATCTTTCAGTTATTTTTTTTTTTTAAGTATGGGTTAATGAATTTTATAGACAACATGAGAAAAGTTACAACAAAGTTAATTCCAGGCTGTCCTGGAACTTAAAACTTCTCTTCTAGAAAATACATAGTCCGTACAAAGACATTTGACATACAGATCCAGGAGAGATTTATTCAGAGTATTAATCTTAAGGCCTCTAAAGAGTATGCTGCGCTTTATCAGCTGAGTGAAATTGTTATTCATTAACTTAGTAATGGGTTTTTCTGCTGATCTTTGTTGCTATTAAGAAAAAATATTCTATCAAGTGTAAATGGTGGGTGATCCATACCGTAGCCTTTGAAAGGGGAGTGAGATCTCCCCTTTTATGTCCAGAGAAATGAATACAACTATTTTGTTTGTGTGGTTACCTAGTAGGATATTCCAGCATGAGGTTTTGCAACCATAAGTGCTAATTTGTAGGCATTTTTCTGAATCTGCCCACTGCATCCTTTGAGAAGCTCTGTCTCCACAGTGTGTGTCTCCCATTTTCCAAGGTTCACTGTGTCTGAATTTTTAAACAAGCTGTTGGATGGTTCTCCGTTGTAAGAGTTTTTATCCCCAGCTCAGTACAAAGACTGCAGAGCTGTGCGCATCTTCTCCGCTTGTATCTCTCCATCCTTGTTCCACGAGCAGATTTTGAAACAAAACGCTTCATTGCACATCTGTTGTCTTTTTTACAGGTGATGTATCACCCATCAGCATGTCTCCCATCAGTCAGTCACAGTTTATTCCACTTGGGGAAATCCTTTGCCTGGCCATCTCAGCAATGAACTCTGCCCGAAAACAAGTGACACAAGAAGCACTAATGGAGCACCTAACGACCTGCTTCCCAGGTAACTGGACATGAATAAATCATTGGTCAGATGAGCTCATGCCTGTAAAAGGGCAGTTAAAGAATGTCTAATCCCTGCCCAAATGGTTGCATATCTTTTGGCCTCCCTAGAAGAGGGAGTTTTTGTGTTTGGTAATCTGTTTTTCTTCAGTCTTCTGGATGGGATTATTGATTAAACCTGAGCTGCTACTCAGAAGTAAAAGGAGGCTTCTTTAGGGTTCTAGTCTTACAACCTTTTCTTTATTCTTAAACGTACAGAGAATCAACTTCTCTTTGACATGGCCATTCACGCGAGATGCATTTTGCAGGATTAATCCCTGACTTTAGGTGAATATTAAAAATTACTTAAGATACGGAACAGCAAACTATTGCATGTTTCTTTTTTCAGACTGGTATCAGAATAAGCTTGTTTGTGATTTTGCTCACAAAGTAACCTTCTTTATCATCATAGTCAAAAAGAGCTCTGGACTTCTTTAGTCATTGTGGAGAATAAAGCACATGTTATAGCCAGAGCAGACTTATTCCACTTTGTGCCTTTCAAGCTGGTTGTAAGCTCTCGGAAGAGCTCTGCTGACATAATTCAACCAGTTCAAATGTCATTGTCCAGTCTCCCTGGAGATAATCTCATGGAGATCTCTGTGTAGAGCATTCTCTCTTAAAGAGCAGGTTTCCCAAAAACTGCATGTCTTCCTCCACCTAGGACAGGCTCTTAAAACTGGTGTGACCTGACACAAGTAGTAGAGACCGATGATGATGTGCCTGCTTCAGGGAAAGGAGTTTGTCAGCCTGGATTTCAGAGCCTTCTTGGGCACAGTTGAAAATCTTTAAATATATTTTTGTTTGGGTTTTGGGGTTGGTTTGGTTTTGGGTTTCATTTTTTTAGTGCAACAACACTCTGCATGACTGAAGGTTTGGGGAGCCACTTGCTGTGTTCATAAATGCTGGTGTTCAGAAGATATTCTTGTCAGCGTTTGATGATATTTATCAAATGGTGAAATGAAAATACCTTGGACTGTAACATGAAAAAAAGGAAACCTGTGTTAAGAAAGTACTCATGAATATGCTGCTTCCCTACTGACAGTCTGTTTCTGGAGTTGGTAAATCATGCAAAATGCATCTGGTAGAGACATCTAAAAGTGTGGTGCAAAAGCATCAGGCAGAGGTTTATGGTGCAAGAGAGCATATTTTTTTTTTCACTTGTGCTTTGTTTGATCCTGGGCAAGATGTTTAACTGTTCTGTGCCTCAGTTTACAGTTCTCTAAACTTCTCTATTGTACCTCTTTTACAGCTGTAAAAGTCAGCTAATTAAAAATGCTTCAGTAAGAAAACTACTGATGCATAACCATAGTCATGTTTTGATGTCTTGAATTCTTTTCCTTACCTTTCAGAGCAAGAGTTACTTAAAGCCTTGAAGGTTACATGGCTTTTGCTATAACTGGTACTAAGTTCTCAGATTTTTTAAAATATGATTCTGGATCGAGAGCTATGTTTGAAGTAAATGATTCTGTCTGACATTTAATAATTGCACTTTGGAAAAAATTACTGCAAGTGTATTTTGTAAATACTGGCTTTCTGTCCCAATTTGTGGTTTTGTTTAGCAGAGGTTTTTTTTCAGTATGTTTGGCTGATTTTGAGAATAGTGGTAAAAGTTCTAAGGGATAGAATGCAAAGAAGGCAAAGTTCACAATTATAATTCCACTTTAATTCATGTTGATAATTTTTTTTCCCAAGCTACATTTCCTATGTAGCTATGTACTAGAAGAGTTCCGTAGATTGCAAGTATTTTTCCAATAATTCCATCAATGTTTTTATATAACCATTATTGCATGGTGGAAATGATAATTTATTGGTGGCATTCCTTGGGTTTCCTGGGAGAATGATTATCAGTTGACTTGTGTATTGTGCTGTTCTTGCTAGACAGAACCATACATCAAAAATAATTCAACAGGCTGGATTATTTTGTAGACTCTTCTCAGAAAGAAGCCCGAGGCAACTTAGCACACAGTCTCTTACTGCTTTTTCCACTAGCCACGAACATGTGCATTTCTCAAGTCTGAGATTTAAAAAAAAAAAAAAGGAGGGCCTTGTTTTTCCTATCTCACTTCCCAAAACATGAAAAAAATTATTTGGGAAAAAAAATTAATCCCCCCTTTGTTGTCCCTTTTTCCCCCTCTCTAGAGAAATGTGTTTCTCTCCCAGCCACGATGTGTTTAACATAGCAAACATACATGTCCTGTCAGTGTATGAGGATTATCCAAAAATTTTGTCCTTTCCAATAAACAGAACCTCGTCTTGTGCTGAGTGATATTTTTCGCTCATCTACCCAAATTCTCATAAATCAGCCACAGCATTTTGAGCCCTTGTGTTCACTGTGGCTATTTTCAAATATCTGATTTCCTCCCGTTTTCTGATAGTTTATTTTTCCTAATTAGGTGCTGATGCTCTGAGAGAGAGGGGAGCATCAGCAGTGTAGCTGTATCTGTCACGGTCGCGTAGCCTCTCTGTGTCTCACCCTGTAGCAGCACTTGTCTGCCCCGTGTTGTTTGTGTTTTAATGAACAGATGCTTCACTGCGTTTCACGGAGTGTATAAATTTCCTAAGACCCCAGATGCTGTTCTCAAACTGCCTGAGAATAATAAACCTCTTTCCCCAGTGTGGGATCTTACGCTTGCAGTCTAGCCCTCTAGTTTGCTGAGCCATTGTGCAGGCATAAATCTGGGCCATGGCTCTATCTGAAATAAGGTATGCTAATTATTTATAACATCACATAGCAACCACTCCACATCCTTAACTAGTATTTCATGAGCCAATCAGAGTATTTCTTTTATCCCTTGTTAAGCCTTAGCATCAGCTCAGGAGAAAATCATTTTAGCAGATTTAACACCATTTAAATACTACTTCAGATGTATTTTTCATGAATTTATTTTATTGAAAAAGTTTGTAATGATAATGCATGTCTTATTTGTGGCTTTTGTTATTTGTCAGCTTTTGAAAAAAGCGAGAGGGCTCCTGCTGCACGTGCTCCCATTATTCTAACTTAGAATTAAACAATGAGATGTTTGTACAGCTCTATTTTATAATTTATTGACCGTGGTTTAAATCCCATACATTACATGTAAGTCTTTGAAATCCAGTATAGTTAAGAATGTAACCTCTGTTCCCGTGTTTGGCAGCCAGACCCTCTTATCTGAAGAAAACATCAAGCCTTAGTCTATGCTGACTTCAGTAATGATTTTTTTTTTCTTTTTTTTTTTTTCTTCCCCGATTTTGTCCACGTACTTATTAAAATCATTTTAAGGCTGTTTGGAATTTCAGTGTAGAAAATACTTGTGTGTATTGGACTAGGTTGCTTTCCAAGCCAAGAGTTTTTTGAAAGCTGGCAAATTTCTCTGACATGCACCTTCATAACTGTTCGCTCTTTAAATATGTGAAATGTATATGTAGCACTTAAAATAAGTGTCTTACATTAACTGAGTTCACTCTAGGTCAGTGTTCTTTGTGAGCAGCAAACAAGACATAATCTTCCGTCTGGAGGCTCGGTGGATGGCATAGTGTAGACTCTCTTGAGATGCAGAAAATGTACATGTCTGATGATTCAGTGTCCAGACAGTTTCTGCTTTTGAATTATTAAACCACTACATAATCTTAAATAACACTACTGCTGTCATGCAATATTTTATATGCTAGAATCTCTAAACTACTGGGTTTTTTTTCCTCTTCTTCCAATCTAATGGAGGAAAGGAGACCATAAGGAGACTTAGGAATACGGGGGTGTAGGTTACATATCCCCATGATGTGGCCAGCTTGCTGTAAAGAGAAAAGTCTTGAGAAAGCCAGGAAATCTGTGTTTAAAATAACAACAGTGGGAGCCAGAGTATTTTCATTGCTCCCGTTCACCGTGCAGGAAGGCCTCATTGGAGTTTGGGCCTGTTTCTGCTTTATTAAGTACCTGAAAGGGACTAAAGCTGGCGTTAGCTGGCAATGCCAAGCTCCAAAGATCTGCATCTGCCATCGTCACTGCTGGCTTAGGGAACCACAGGGATAAAAGTGATAGTCACTGACACCATTAACTTTTCAGCATCTTTGACTGCCCAGGCACCCTAATTTATATTTTTTTCTTGGTGTTTATCTGCACGGCCTGTATTCTCAGGACTTAGTCAATTAATGTAACTGCTGTGCATCCAGCATTTAGAGACTCATCTACCCAACAAATTAATGTAACTGCTGTGCATCCAGCATTTACTCATCTACCCAACACGTTGTAGTCATTATGGTTTACTGGGGGAAAAACACATTATTTATTTTTTTTTAAATGTATTTACAGAGCATTTTTGGCTGAGTTAGTGTAAAACATCAGAAGGTCCATTTCAGTCTCTTTCCCAAACTTTTCTGTAAACTCCCAGAAGAATGTTTTCCTCTCTTTTATTTTTGTTCTGATGTTTCTGAAACAGTATGTTAAAAAAAAAGTCTTTAAGTAAAATAAGGAGGAAGGAACAAGTTCTTGCAGACAAAGGTAGGTATGTGTGGAGGTATTTAACGTGTAAGCTCCTGGAAAACACAATGTATTGGTCAGGTTGTTTGTGCAGAGGCAGGAGGAGGGATTGGCTGCTGCACAGCAAGTGTGTCTCAGTTGGACTGGGGTGGGACCCTGCAGTGCATTTCCAGCACGTGAGCTTGAGTTCAAGGTCATCCACTTATTGTGGTGATGCAAGGCTTAATGTACGAGGACAGGTAGTCCTTTTATCTCCCTGCTCTCTGGATTTTGGGTTTTCCCAGCTGTTGCTATTTCTGGCATGTTTGCTCACCCAGATATTCTGGGGGGTCCTTCTTACTCTCTCTAGGATTATCGCAGAAATTGTAGACACCGACCTGAAAAGAGGAGAAAATGCACATTCTTGATTCTCCATTTCATTGTGTATTCTTTCCAATTTCCAGTCTCGTTTATTCTCTCAAATTATATCCTTTCTTTACCTCTTTTACTCCCTGTGTCTGTATTGGCCCGAAACTTTCAGCTCTGTGGACTGTGCATGAAATATATTGACTGCCCCCCTGTTCTCCCTGGCACCTTCTCTGTTGTAACTGCTTTCACTCATGTGTCCATGTTATTCCTAACACTTTGCTGTTTCCATTGTAAGATTTTTAGTTACAGATATTACTGGATGTGAGCAGTGTGGTCATGTCTCTAAATTCAAACAACACTCAAAAGCCAGACATAGGAATACTTACTATGTTGCCTGCAACCCAGTAGCAAGGAAGAGGGTGAGTTAAGGAATTAGTACAACGTCTCTATTTCTTATCATGAATTTTTTTGATGGGCTGTTGGTCGCAGTGCCAGAGCCCTTGTTGCCATCCTCATGTTTGCTCACACAAGGAGGTCAGTGAGCTTGCAGGCACCAGCCTTTCACATGTGGGAGAAGAGTCGGTGACCGGACACTGTGTGCTACTGATGATACTGTGTTTGTGACAGGTATACCTGTTTGAGATTTTTCCATTAAGTATTTTTGTGAAAAGCATACGCTTTGGTGAAATGTTTTTGCATGCGTAATTCCGTGAAGTTTCTGTTCTTGAAGATAGCCAGAGCTTGATTTGACAAGGCCCTGACAAACCTAACAAAGTTGTCCTGGCTATGAGCAGGGACATCGACCAGATGACTTCATGAGGTCCCTTCCAACTTAAGTTACTCTCTGAGTCAATTTTTTTTTCCTAGATTAGTTTTGTTGAAAAGAAAACTAAGATCCCGAGCAAATAATACTAACTCTTTTAGTTTAAAATAGAGCATCCAAACTTTTGAAAAAAAATTTTCTAGTTCTAAAACTGTAAACCAGGTCAGTACCCAGAATTAAGTTAAAATGAAAATGCTTTAGGTCCACAGAATGTTGATTGAAGATAGCTTTTTACAGTGAAATTTTTTTGAAAGATTTTTATTTCTCACTGAGCATAAAGATTTTTTTTTTAAACTAGCTTGTGAACTAAACCTCTTGTTTCCCTAGCTCTAGATGGAATTTATTCCCCTGCACAGCATGCTGGCTTGGTATTTTATCTAATAAAGTATTGAAGGCTTGGTTCTGCACCACTGAACCCAGCAGGAGTACTGGTGGTGAGAATGACCAGGCTCACGATGCCAGGTCTGCCATGTGCCATTGATGCAGGGTTGTCATGCTTGTCCCCCTCTCGGTATGTGATGCGTGCACTTAGGGAGTGTCCATCACATCTCACACAGGAGGCAGGAAACTCTTAGAAGCAAATTTTTAGGAGCTAAATCTCTTAACTTCCAGCATAGTGGAAAAGTCTGGGTAAGATGAACTGTGTCATTCAAGGCGTGAATTTTTTGGAGCAGCTGATGTGGTAGAGGAAGTGAGTTTAATCAAGTTTGTGATAAAGGGCTTCTCTGGGAGAAAGATTTTTTTATTTTTTTTTTCTGTGTAGTATTCTTTTGTGGAAGAACAACTTAGGCATCCAAAGTAACAAATAACCACTGTTTTATACGTGACTGGGCATTATAATAAATAGTTCTGGTGAGCTGAGATATAAATATTTAGTTGGAAGAAGAATAAAAGTGAAATGTTTCCCCTGACAGCCTTTGACTTTCAGTGATTCCATCATCTCGTAGCTTAAGGTCACCTGCACAATGGAAGTAACTAGGTCTCTCTTTTGCTTTTCTTTTTTTTTTTTTTGTTTTTAACACTCCATTAATGGCCTCCTTTCTCTTTAATTAATAATTGATATGTCTGAAGTGTAGGAGATAAGTGGAAAAACAAACAGAGAAGAGAATGCCTAGCAAAGTGCTTTGCTGGAGTTGTTTGTTCAGCATATTCCAAGCTTGCACATTGGAGAAAACAGCTTTTTTTTGTTGGGGAGGGGGGAGCCAGAGAGTCCTGCCTGATTTTATGCACTCCCTGATATGTCTTTACTGTCATTTCTAGGAGTTCCAACACCCAGTCCAGAAATCCTTCGGCATACCTTGAATATGCTTGTACGGGAGAGGAAAATATACCCGACTCCGGATGGTTATTTCATTGTAACCCCGCAGACTTACTTTATAACACCATCTCTCATAAGAACTAACAGTAAATGGTACCATTTGGATGAGAGGATACCTGACAGGTCTCAATGTACCTCTCCTCAACAAGGAACTATCACTCCCTCCACCTCGGGATGCGTCAGGGACCGAACACTACCCAAAAACCACTGCGACTCCTGCCACTGTTGCAGAGAAGACATGCACAGCATGCATGCCTCTACCCTACAGAGGAAATCAGCAAAAGACTGTAAAGACTCCTACTGTCCTCCTTCGTTATGTCAGGTCCCGCCTACTGAGAAAAGTAAAAGTACTGTCAATTTTTCTTACAAAGCAGAGACGCTCACAAAGCCTAAGGATGTAGAAAAGCAGTCGAAGAAATTTGGCCTCAAATTATTCCGATTAAGTTTTAAGAAGGACAAGACAAAACAGTTGGCAAATTTCTCTGCCCAGTTTCCTCCGGAGGAGTGGCCGCTAAGGGACGAGGACACCCCCACCACTATACCCAGAGAGGTAGAAATGGAGATTATCAGGCGCATTAACCCAGACTTGACTGTGGAAAACGTCATGAGGCACACTGCACTAATGAAGAAACTTGAAGAAGAAAAAGCTCAGCGAAGCAAAGCAGGCTCTTCAGCTCACCACAGCGGGCGAAGTAAAAAGAGCAGGAATCACAGGAAGTCTCATGGGAAATCGAGGTCACACAGCAAGACTCGGGTGTCCAAAGGAGACCCATCAGATGGCTCTCATTTGGATATTCCTGCTGAAAGGGAGTATGAGTTCTATGACCCCTTGACTCGATCCCCACGGGAAGGCTGTTTTATAATAGAGCACAAGGGAGATAATTTTATAATGCACAGCAATCCTAACATGATTGAATCTCACTTTCCCATGACACCAGAGTGGGACGTGTCTGGTGAGCTGGCCAAGAGAAGAACTGAAATGCCTTTCCCTGAACCTTCCAGGGGAAGCTCCCACTCCAAGGTCCATCGGAGCCACAGCCATACGCAAGATAGAAGGTCGAGGAACGAGCGGTCCAGTAAGGCTAAAGAAAGGTCTAGGTCCATGGATAACTCCAAGGGACCTCTGGGCTCGGCTACTTTAAGCACACCTGAAGACATAGGTGAAGGCTGTAGCCCAGATGACCAAACAACTAGCCAAACGTACATTGACGATAGTACCTTAAGGCCATCTCAGTCGCTCAGTCATCAAAGGGCTCTGATTTCATCTGCCGGCTACAAAGAGACTTGCATCCCCGAAATAGCTAGTGGCAGTGTAGAAACCCCCAGTTCCTGTAGCCTGTTGGACCAAAGCAAGCCTACAGAGAACTTGCCGTCGTACAGCGAGCTCAACTCCTGCACGACAAAATCTGCCATCGACGACTATTTTCAGTGCAACACCTCCAGTGAGACCGTGCTCACTGCTCCATCGCCTCTGGGAAAGAATAAAGAGGATCACGACACGCTGACAGGGACGGATGGGCTCAAAAAAATGACTCCCGTAGAAAGACAGTCTCAACACATTGCCAGGGAGCCCGGGGTGCACAAAGAGGAGTCCCCGAAGGGCCCGAGCGGTGGTTCGGCGGTTTCTGGCCAAACTCCTGAGGTGATCGCGAACGGGCGGCTGGTCCAACACCACAGCGCTGAATCCAGCAGCCTGGATAAAAGGAAAGAAATATTTAGCAAGGATACGCTCTTCAAACCTCTGCACAACACTCTTTCTGTCAATAGCTATCATAAGTCTAGCACACCCCTGCTAAAGCCCCATCAAAAGACCCCCTCTGACACCTTGCCGGTCAGATGTGAGAAACTTGAACAAGCGATAGTAACCTCAGTCACCCAGGTCATGCCCGTGTCCCAGAGACAGCAGGAGACAACGGGGAACCAGGAGGCCTCCTTCGACTACTACAACGTGTCCGATGATGACGACTCGGAGGAAGGAACCAATAAAAACGCCGAGGAAGAAAAAAACAGGGATGACGTCGGCACCATGCAGTGGCTCCTAGAGAGAGAGAAAGAGAGGGATCTGCAGCGAAAATTTGAGAAGAATCTCACCCTTCTCACCCCGAAGGAAACGGAAAACAGCAACAACCAGAGAGCCACCCACTCGGCCCGCCTGGACAGCATGGACAGCAGCAGCATTACTGTGGACAGCGGGTTCAACTCTCCACGGTAGGACTGTCACATTCATTGCAGCTTTACAGACTAGAGAGTTCCGTGTGTAGTTATATGTGTGTGTGTGATGTCGCTGACAGAACCTAGGGCCCTATTAAACCATGTCACACGTTTTCAGGCAGTGTTTTCCACAGCTCTGGAATCTGGAATTCTGATGTGTGGGTTTCCCACCATACGGTGAGCAACCAGTGACCATTTGCGGCTTTGACTCTGTATTGGTTTGTTTGCTGTTTGCTGAAAACCTCCCTGTACTTTTTTTTTTTTTTTTTTAATGTATTAATGTTTGCATTTAGAATAGAAGATATGAGCTCCTGCACACCCTCCCTCCCTTCCCTTTCCCTCTAAGATACCATCAGCAAGACTAATGGGAAGATTAGACATGACTAGGTGGCATAAACTTTGGCTCAGACCAAAAAAAACCCTACCAGTGGCATAATCTTTGGCTAAGACCAAAAAAAACCCCACTGTGATGATTGTTGGTGGGTTTGGGCTTTTTTGTTTGTTTTCTTCAAAAATTTTGGAAGTATATCTATCACTATTCCAAACTGGTGGGACCGGAGCAGCCGTTTTCCCCCCGCATGGCTGAAAGTGCTCAGGATATGGGAACTTCAAAGGTGACTCAGCACTGCATCAGCAGAGAGGGGTGTCTTGCCTAAAATACTTGGCAATATTGTCCAGATGTTTGCGTGTGGTGGTGCTGGTTGGGCATTTCCATACCAGGAATCTCAGAGACCTAGGGAGGATAGAGTTGCTGGTGTGTTCCCCGCCCTGAAGAATTTCCAGGTTAAGAATCTTTCACTTGAGCCTTCTTTCTTCTCTCTCTGGCCTCTGACAGTCCTAGGTCCCTGCTGGAATGGAGCTTGCCTGGTTTTGTTTGCCCTGGATAGCAACCCATCAGAGTTCAGAACAATGACTCTAAGAACACAGAAATAATTTACAATGGTAGTTCTCTTATAGCGTCTTACTTAAGCTTAAATTATTTATTGCCTGTGTTTAAAAATAAAACCTCCAAGACTGGATTTGTATTAGGTGAAAGAAAACAGTTTGAGGGCGGGGGGGTTTGTTGGCTTTTTTTTTTTCCCCTGTAAAAGGTGTTCTTGTTCCTCAGAATTGTATTATTTTTTTTTTAATCTATAGCAAAGGCTCTCAAAAAGGCATGTGAAGGATTTCCTGCTGCTAGACAAGACTAAATTTCATTTTCAGTTAAAGTCATGTCACTTTGGAATAAATTCCTTGGGATTTGATGGCTACTCCCACTTGATGTTAATGACAAGGAGGTAATTATTGGGCCTGTTGCAGCGTGCAGTGCTCGTCAAACTAGAGCAGGCTATTAACATATGTATCATTTTTCTGAGTAAAAAATTTGAAAAAAAATTTTTGAGTAAGTTGTACCACTTACACTGAGTCCAGCTTAAAAAAGAAACTTCAGAAGGTTTTGAATTTGTTGCTGTTATTGATTGTTTTGCAGGTGCTTGGCATCTTTCTCACATATGACTGTTGTATGAGGCTGTTTGCACTGTTACTTTTTAAATGTAATCTCTTTTCTTAGTGCTATATTTGCTGTCAGTTTTTTTGGGGGAAGTATATGATGGTGTTTGCTTCTTGCCCAGCCTGTCTCACTCCACAGAGTGCATTTCACCCCCAGGAGAGGATGTCAACAGGATAAAAATCACTTTTTAGACTACTATTTTGCTAGCCGTTTGCTAAATTAGTATCAAGCTTGCGTTTCTGGTTAGTGCAAAGGCAGACAGTTCCTTCCCTGATTATTTACACAAAAGCTAAAATTTCTGTTGATGTTAATCTTAAACTTATTTAGCAGAGAACAGAACACAGGGAGCATTCTGGATTTAGTGCTGCTATACCACTTTGGTCAGATCAAAAGGGAAACAGATAAGCAGCTTTTAACAATTGTGTTTTACACATCTCTTTATTTATTTATTGATTTTGCTGTTTATTTACTAACAAAAGTCTTTTTTTTGCAAGGCCGCATAAAGTAAGCTTTAAAAAAAAAATAACATTTTGTAGGGCTTTCTTGTGTATTTGTTTTGTAAGACCAGCGTATAGTCTGGATATTCCAAAGGCTTTTTGATGAGCTTTGCATCAAGGTGATGAAATTGAATGATTTTGCTGAGTTTTGGTCACTCCTCAGTATAAATCTATAAAAATAAAAGGGTGAATTCAGCCCTTTGGCTGTATATACTGTGCTGATATTACCTGCCTATCTTATAACAAAAAATATACTCCACAGCCCTTTTCCAGGAAAATCAAACAAGCTCTCTAGCGTCCCTCTGGTGAGATTCACCTAGATGTGACAGTGTCCGTTAGCAGATCCCTAGGGAAGAGTTTAGGAACTGGACATTCCTCAGGTGGACTTCTGACCTCCACTGATGTTCTAACTCTTGACTCCCTGAGGCTTGGGGGTGTCTTTTCATTTACACTGAAGCGTGCGGTGTAAAGTGTGACAAATTGGGGAAAAAAAATAATAATCCAGGATGTAGTTAAGGAGATTTGCAATGGTCATTTGACTTCAAAAGTATTTTGTGTGTGAAAATGGTGAACACGTCACCGTTGGGAAAACAGCCTCGCAGTGTTTTGTTCATTGCTTTTATGCAAGTTGTATACAGTAAATGTTAGCTGTCAGTATTAATTTTATTCCTTCATTTTTAGAGCTTATATAATACTGCTGCTCTTTTGTCACCTGAAGGAAAGAGCTAATTTTGGCATTACTCTGCATGCAGAATTCTCACTGCAGTCTCTCTGTATACGTGCTGTAACGGTCAGTTTGTAACATCAGGATTGAAAATGTTTGAAGATCTGCAATCTCATAAAGAAATGATACAATACCGAGTGATCTCTGAAAAACAAAGGTTGCATCTGTTTTCATTAAAAAAGCAGAGGGAGAGGAATCAAAACAGGAGCAACAGGAGTGCAGCCTGGGTCCTTGCAGCTCACAGAGATCTCCTGCTGTGTGCGTCACCCATCGCAGCTGTTCCGAACTGCTGTCAATAAGGTGGTAGTTGGCAGATGGTGATCAATACCATTTTGATAAATTTAGAAGATCTACAAGAATTTTCCTAAAAGCATCACCGATTTTCCAGATTTCAGCCAGTTTACCGTGATTTAAATCTGCCCTTCAACTAAACAAGGTGTTTCTTCCTTCCCCCATGCCATGCACTGACAGATTTCTCCCCTGCCACATCCAAAGCTGTGCATTCCTACTCTTGCCCTGAAGCTAGCACTAATTAATCTTTTTTTTTTCTTTTTTTTTTTCTTTTTTTTTTTTTTCTTTTTTTTTCTTCTTAGGGCTAGTATTTAACTGAGAGCGGTCCCTGATCTGGCTGGCTGCAAGGCTCAGCAGCAGGGAAGCAGCAGGAACATGTGGCAGGGTCAGGTCCACACAAGGCAGGCAAGAGCTGCCCCTTTCAGTAGCAGGTAAATTTAGGTTGACTTTAAACCAACTACGAAACTCTGTCCTTTTTCTAGTGCTTATTTAACAAATAAGTCCTCTAAATTCCTCTGTAAACATCTCCATAGCAAGTGGTGATGTCATTTTGCAAAGAAGTAGGGATACAGGTGGAGGATGCATAACCAGGGACCACATGGGTATTTGAAAACCAAATCTCTTTCTGCACAGGAACATGTTATTTGAAGATCAAAAATTATTAAGAGTGGAAAGAGAACAAAAGGAGTAGTAGTGTTAAAATAAGCCCTAGCATATCTTGGCTGAGTTTTTTAAAAGGGTAAAACACAGGCTCTTCTACGTTCAAAATTAGATGTATCATTAGAAAGCTTAGTCTTTAAAAGTGTCCCGTTGCTCCCCTGGACAAGTGATAATGTTGGAACTAAAGGAACATTGTCCATTTTATGAATGAAATACCAGCACTAGTTCTTCTTTAGGGTATGTTCCCAAAACAGTTAAGATTTCTCAGCATCTTGTAAGTTGCAACTATCTCCACTGCAAAGCTAAATTGAAGTGTTGTGTTTAGAAACTTGTGGGTTTAATGTAAGGTAGCATTTTTAGTTAATATTTTGTGTAGAAAAAGATAGGTAGGAGACAACAGAGGCAGCTGTGTTATATGATTACTTTCCTGGCTCTGCCTTGTCACAGAGCTGAGTTGATGAAGTTACTTTGTGCAAAAATGCACCAGGAAAAGAAAATTACCATGTTCCATGTGCAAGATGGAAGCTGTTTCCTTGGGTGGAAAGTCCAGATGCTTGGTACTGGTTCAGCTTAACCCTTTGTGTGACAGCTTAGTGCTGTGCCTGAGTTCCAGTTCGATGACTGGAACCCTCTATGAAGAAGCACGTTGGTACCATCAAAACGTGACGGTTCGTTGACGTGACGTTGCCCACAAACACAGGAAACCCATTATAAAACACTCCATCCTTTCCTGTCTGGTCCCTAGGTATATAGGCATGTCATATATGAGCGTGTATATATTTCTTTTCCATTCTAGTACTCGTGAGAGCCTGGCCTCCAACACTTCCAGTATCGTGGAAAGCAACAGGCGTCAGAACCCTGCTCTGAGCCCGGCGCACGGTGGAGCGGGTCCCACCTTCAGCTTCAGAGCCACCACGGACCCCCCCAGCAGCGAAGCTGAGAAACTGCAGAAACCTGCCAACTGCCTGCAAGCTTCTGTCACTAGTGTCTGACCCTCACCCTGCCTCTCGCAGCTTCTGTCTCATCCTACACAGCAACGTTTACGACACTGGGACTGATGTTTACATCTTTGGGGAAAAAAAATGAGGAAACACAAAACAAAACAAAACAAAAAAAAAGGAAAAAAAAAAAAAGAGGAAGCATCTCAACCACAGTTTTAGTGTTGACTTAAACTGTGCTGCTATGTAGACTAGGGGCAACAAAGAAATCTTTATTTCAAGGTATTGCTTTTCACATTTGCGGCTCTGTAGCAACAGAATAGCAGTAGGGATAATATGTACACTTTTTGCTTCACTTAATTGTAACTGAGCACATATATGAAAGTCTAGACACTGTAAGTGTAATCTGCATTTTCAATGTCCATGCAGTTGCCAACTTCATTTAAAAAAAAAAAAAAAAATGCCACAGATGTGTGATGCCCCCGGTCAGAGGCTAAACTCTGCTGCAGAGTTGATCGCTTTTTTACTTCAAAAAAAACCTGAGCCACTGCTGAAAGTAACCAGCCAGGATCACCATGAGGAAAAACAATGCCAAACATGACAAGTGATGACCTCAGCTCTATCTGTGAATTATTAATCAGTCATTTTCACTGTGCGTTTTTGTGACACAATTTTGCAAATACCTGTTGAAGCGAGTGAAAAGGAGGGTTGGGTTTTGTTTTGGTTCGGGTTGTTTTGGGGTGTTTTTTTTTAAGCGGAGGGTGGGAAGGGAGACAGCTTCTCCTTTTGTGTTTCAAAAGTCTGAGAGATGTTTACTTAATGGAGACTTGCTACTTGACCTTCTGTAGTCACAGATGAGGAGGTGGGCTTTTGCGTAGAGGGGGGAGCGGGGAGGGAAGGGAAAGTTATAACTGTCGTGGAGCCACAATGTGGAGTGACACAAAATACAACAAATGTCTTCAGTATAAATCAAGGATTTAAAAAAAAATAATAAATCTAATCCTTGTGTCACTTCTGGTATTGCAACTTGCCGTTAATATAGGAATCAGGATAACTAATTTCTTGGCACAAAAAATATTCTTTATGATATAAATGATAAGTATGGCCTGAAGAATTGATTTCTTTCTAGTGGAAGGACATAAATCTATTTTATGTAGCTTATTAAATAGAGTGCCTAAATTAGGCTATTAAAAATAGCATACATTGTAGTGATTATCAGAGAACAAAATTTAGAGAATTATAAACTTCTGGCCTTTTTATTCAGTGGATGTTATTTGCAATCTAGCATTTTATGGACGCATCTAGTTTCTAGAAATTAAGTGTGTCCACATGGTTGGCAGTAGAAATCTGAATTCTGTAGGTATGGTATATCCTAATAGCTCTCCCCAGAACTGTTACTCCAAAGTAATTGGTCCTGTGCTAATTACTGCAGAGTATCTCGTAAGGATAGTTAAACTCCAAGAGTAATTTTTAGGTGTAGGGTCACATTCTGCTCTGTTACTCATGCAACCTGGTAGTGCAACAAACTGACTTCAAATTTAACTCTATTTTTATCAGAACAGACGAATTGGTGGAAGAATAACAAAGATATGAAGATGTTCAACAGCCCAAACTGTTGCCTAGAAAAGGGACATTTACAATGTCTAGCTCTTGTAGTACACAGGTATGAAAACCAGCTGTACATAGTAAAAAAACCCAGTATTTTCATCAGGTTCTGGTGACGTATTACTCTGTACACAAAGTCATTTGAGCTTCACTCATGTTCTCTGTTGTCATCAGAAGTCTTTACTGAAGATTCAGCCTTATGTTACGCAGTTGGATATAGTTCATTTCCTTAGAAAACGGTTTTCTGGCTCTGGACACAATCAGTTTCCAGTTGTGTCAAGAGCACCCAGTCAATGCCCAGGTCTGTTTTCCTTGGTTTCAGTGTATAATTTCCATTTCATAGGAGCAATAAGACCTTTCAGTGCACATAAAGGAAATTATTGTGCTTTTGGTTGGTTATCAAAGTCACTTGGCCTTTAGCCTTCTGCCTTATCATACCTTCCAAGACGTGCTCTAATTGCCCTATAATGCTTTGCATGATGCATCTTATTATTCAGTATGTAACTCCAGCCGTACTTATTCCATGCGAACTGTAGAGTCAGAGTTTTTGTGGGGAATTGTCATATACTATGCAGTGGCTGACTGTGATTTTGTTCTTGGGATGAGCTCTGACATCAGTAGTATGTATCAATTCAGTAAATAAAATATGTCGAAAGGATAAAAAGAAAAAAATTACAGTGATGATCTGAAGCACTAGCGGCAATCAAAATGTGAACAACGAAAACAAATTTCACCTTTTGGGGGAAATACTTGTTTGTCAGAAACTAATCAGAATTTATGCAGGCAGCTGGTTGTACAGAAGACATAATTCCAACAAAATACGATCATACGTACCTATAAACTGTATAGTATGTTATTTCCTGAAGTTCCCAGAGACCAGCAGACAACATAAATGTCATATTAATGTTGACATGGCACTGTACCAATATTAATGTGACTCTTGGAATATGGAATGTAAACAGAAGTTTCAAATAGAAACGTTCTAATCTTGAATTCTTTTTTTTTATTATTATTATTATTTTTCCTTTTAAAATCAACAATGGAATATAAGGAAATTCCATCTTGAGGTTCTGGTAACAAAACCACGAGAGTGGAGCTTGAGTGCTTTATGTCACCCTAATCCTTTGATGAAATCCTAGCCTTGTATTACATGGTTGCTTATCTATCATTATTCTTCTTCTAATGTATCAATTTAAAGGTTTACAGAGTTAGATTAGGTTGAATCTGTGTTGTGTTCAACTGTAAAGGGTCAACACAAATCTGTCGGCATTTTGCACACTTAATATGTATTATTATAATACAACATGTTACTTTTATGGTAATTTTTTTTACACATATAACTACCTCCATGAATTTGATGAAATGCAGCAACATGAAAAGCGTATTGTACAAAGCAAGGTTCAAAACTTTGAAGCATTTAGGTCATGGCGTTCTCTTGTGTGTCAATGCTTGCGTATGAAGTCATCATGTTTCCATTGCCACAATTTCCTTCTACGATATTAAAAATCTGGCTTTCAGATGAGTCACTTAAAGGACTTGGACAAGGCTGGGTAATTGGGGTAAAAGTAAAGAAAAGGGGAGGCCGAAACCTTCCCTCCTCTCCCCCCCGGTTACTGCAAAAATTTCTGCCTGGTAGAACTTGAAAATGTAATTTAGCAAATTAGGAACATCTACAGTCTGTGAAATACGATGGACCGTTTGGGGTGTAACAGAAGACACTCTGGGTATTTTCTTGGCAGCCTTCAAGTACTTTGGGGCCCTGTTCTGCCTCCCTCTTTGTCAACATATCGGGTCCTTTACCGCTGCGCACTCTGTTCTCTGCCTCGTGTGCGTCTCAAACACTCGCTCCTCGAGCAATTACCAACGGCCTTTAATTGACTTGGCCGGGAGCGGGGGACCCTACTCGAGGTATGTGCCTCTTGTTCCAAGAACGTGGGCAAGGATCCAAGAAAAAGGAAGCTGGCTTTTGAACAGTCGCCAGCTGCAACAAGCCACCTTTCGAGAGGGAAGAAAGAAAGAAAGATTTTTTTATTTTGGGGTTTTTTTGTTGGTTTTTTTTGTTGTTTTTTTTTGTTGTTGTTTTTCCAAAAAACCAAAGGAAGAAAGTGGCAGTTGAACCTAAGCAGATCATGTTTATATAAAAAAAAAAATCCCGGTTTATGAACACGTCTTTCAGCAAACCTAGTACCATTATCCTGATGCAAATTAATACACGATCACCAGTCGAGCTAATTTTGCCGTTTTAAGTATATTTCAGTTGGAAAATGAGAAGAAAATCATCAGCCATTTGACTCCTTGCACCACTGTAAATTGTCCGTTATACGCGAAACAATGTTCACTCAACTTTAAAAACTAAAATGTATTGGAAAACAAATATTTTAATGAAAACCATGGCCTTAAGTGCTTGCCAGCGGTAGTTGTTTTTTTTTAGAAAAGAGACCAAGCAGAGCAGTATTTAGAGGCCATCATAAACGTGGATAATACTTTGCACTTAAATCACAGCTTTTCACCCCAGGGCCTCGAAGCACTTGGTACCAGCGAAGCCTCAGGAGCCCGTGGGGGGTGGGGAGAGCTCACAGACCCTCTGTGCCCAGGAAAAAACAAAGGCTCGGAGTCTGCCGGCAAATTTATTAACCAGTAGCTTTCTTAAAGTTTCTGGAAAAAGTTTAATAATTGACCAAAGTGTTTCATGTTCATGCTCTGAAGTTATTTTGATGCATTCGGCGTGTTTTAAGAGAGAACCTACTTTGCAGTCCTGCAGAGGCTCTTGGAGTAGCAGTGCCAAACCCAGTCAGTTTTCGGTTAATACGAGTCTCCTGCTGGCGGTGGTTTTAGAGAACAGTTGTTTTAATTAAAAAATTTGTTTTTCGGATACATTTCGCAGAGCTTCGCCCGACGCGATTCTTCCAATCGTCGTGCTGAGAAAGCAAATAGCGCTCCCAATCCGGTGTCCCACCCCCCCAGTTTACAATTCTCTTTGCTCTTCTGAAGAAAGCTGTACAGTATTAGAGAGAAATGTTCTATTTTTTACGAAATCCTTTAAAAAAAAAAAAGAAAAAAAGAGAAGAAAAGGTATATATCTAAAATGTTCCCCCCTCCCCCCCCCAGCATAAGTGAAGCGCATCGTTAAACCGCATGAGGAACATGTGGAGGACCCACCAAAAGCCAAGGTGGTGCTAGAAGAGAAGGGGAATATGGGGCTTCTTCTGCTCCTGGGGCTGTGGTGGGTGAGGTGGGTGCCAACCC